ATGAATGAAATTTTTTAATTTTTGATTTATTTGTATCTTAAAATTAGATATACGTCATCAACTGTCATAATTTTTCATAAGAAAGAATTTCCCCATTTAGTAATACATACAATAAAAAACAACTTTATCATAAAACAAACTTTGGAAAGGTCAGTTGAAAATTTGTACGCGTCGCGACAGCCAACGGCCAGAATTTTTTATCAAGATGGCACGCGGACAGAATTTGTACGCGCGGAATGTTTCTGAAAGATTTTACCTTAGTTTGCATGTGACCGGAATGCAGAAGCTTTGGCCGTAATTGCCTAAGGCCTGCAAATTCCATCGGTATTGTACGTTATTTTTTTCATTTCTACACGGATGTTTTTTATGTTGAGACCGTCGAGCAATGATTATTTTAGGGTGGAATTTCCTTCAATATTGAAGTGGCGATTGACTTGAAATTTGGATGCACCTAAAATTCTGCTTAAACGACGGAATTTTTAAGATCATGAGCGCTATACATTTAAACTCCTTATAATCCAACACAAATTTCTTCTGAAACTAATATAGCCTAGAATGCACAAGTTTCTTAAACCGTTTCCAAATGCACTATCGATTTTTCCCGGTTTTTAAGACAGCGTAAATTTCTTCCCACGATAACAATAATGTAAAAAGTATCCCGAAATTGCCAATAGGTGTTTTTTGCACGGGAACGGCATTTGGCAGAGGTTTTTATCAGGGTTTTGTCGCAGGTCACAACGTCTGATAGGTCGATGGCGGCGCGTGACCAGACTGCCGCTCCTGAGGCGATTATCGAGCTCGAGGACCACGAAAAAAATCAATCGAGGAATCAGTTTCTCACTTGGCCAGCTGGAGGCTTACTTTAAATAAGACGTAAAGATACGAAAAATTGGCACCGATTCGAATGGATTTTTGTTGCTCAACTCAATTCATAAGGTGCGATTAACGGAAAAGATCATCTAAGGAGCACAAGGCAGCGAAAGTATCTTTTTAATGGCTGTTTGTTCTTTTCAGCACTGAGTAAGATAACTTTATGCATGAAGTCATAATATAATTATAACAGGAGGTGATAAATTTCATATCAAAGACTTTATTTAGATTTTAGAGTTCTAATAAAACGTTCAAGCAGGCAAATAGAAACGGTGAATGTAGTAATAAGTCATATGACAGTGGAAAAAATTCAGATCAACTCGGGTTATTGTTATCCTTTAAATATCTCTGATGAGAAATTACCTTGAGTTAAATGTGTTGCACTATTGAACAGAAAAATTAACCAACATAACGACTTTAAATCTTCCTGAACGTGAACGGCCGAACGCGTATTGTGAGGGAAATGTCTAGTCCTAAACAGGGGGGGGGGTTCTTGCAGCGAATGCAATGAGGTAACTGGAATTGGGTCGGTAATGCAGTTATATTGCCGTACTGAGATGGATGAAAGAGCTCGCATCGAAGTCTCGAGACTTCGTGGTGAACGGAAAAAATTCTTGGGCAGAATTAACGGAGAATATAGTGCAGCGGAGCACACACACGTATCATCAGACAGTGGGTTGTTGCCGCTGCATGATTAAGATATGAAATTTAAGGCACTGAGGGCACAGTGTCAGAGCCTTGAGTGCAAAGCCTAGAGTTTTGAGTTCCTTGAACTACAGACCAGAAGCCTGGAGTCTGAAGCGTAGAGTCTTGAATTACAGACTTAGAGACTGGAGTCTGCAGTCTGGAGCATGGAAGTACCACGAATAAATCATAAACTTCAAATGGACTGTAGCTTCTGTTTCTGATAATAAGAATCTGAGTAGGGACAGTAGTATCATGGCCAATATGTTTTTATATAAATGAACGCCCAGGCATGGTAACGATAAAGAATTTGGCGTTCATTAAACCCAGAAGAGATTATTGATTTAACAGGCAAAAATTGTTGTCGCTTTGTGGTTTATGGTTCACTCAGGAGACTCAACCCCATGGACTCCAGACTCGAGGATTCCCTCCAAGCACAATCGAGAAGTAACCGAAAGAATATTGATGTAAATAAAATACTAAGTGTCCAATAATAAAAGCAAATATGAAGGAAACTTTATAAAAAGTACAATTATAAAAATAAATTCAATCTTGATGGCTTAAGAACAGCACGGCTTTGTACGATTCGATGATTAGCCTCGCTCTCTTGCACTACTGCCGTGAATAACGAACAATGTTATCTTCAGATATAGAATTGTCAATTGTGAAATAAATTAGCTTATCACTTAGAACACCAACACCACTAAAAAACCGTAATTTCTTTTTGTGATTAGCATACAATTACATTTATACGCTAAACGAGTATACCTAAGCAACGCGAAACTTTACTTGAGTTTTCACAAAATAAAAAAATCATCTCAAATTAGCGGACACTCGCTGATAAAAGACTTTCCAGTCAAATAAATCAAGAACTGTGTTCTCTTATGCTTGGCCTTGTCACAAATAAAAAGTTAAAGTGGGAGCAAGTGAGTTTACTTAAAGTTTGACCGTCGGAAACTTATTTTATAGGATTCCGTATTGTTTGGTAAAGCTTGGAGCGTGCGAGAATGCGTCTCTGTCTCGGACAGGGGGCGAAAAATAAAAATGGAAACATAATAAAATAAGTCTCGTTTGCAGCTGGGGGTTTACCCTGCGTTTTCTTACGCCGGGAAAAAGTTCCAATCGTGCTATCGGAATCCGTTCACCGGAGCTTTTATTGTGGCCGATAAGAGATGGGGTCTGAGGTACTGGGCCGAGCGCGGCTCTGAGGTAAGTGCTGCACAGCGCTGCGTACAAAAGAACACGGAAAATTGAAGCAAATCGCACGAATTTTTCATCATTAAGCTTCACTTAAAAGCTGAGAGCAAGTCTGCAATGGCAGTAATGCTCTCGAATTTTAACGACACTCTGAATTATGATGGAAATTAAGAACACTCTGAGCCTTCACGAGCCCGCTCGAGTCACAGAACAATGGTGGAGGAAAGAGAAGGAAACCTGATATTTAACCAGCCTTAAAACGAGAACTTCGCTGAAAGTTTAATTTTGGTTCTATTAATTATAGGCATAATAGGAAAAAAATTCTTTAATTCGTCGAATTAAACTTCAATAAAATCGATGCCTAAGTGAAGTTCAATGTTTTGTTCGTCCAGAGATCATCAGGTAACACTGGTGCTTCAAGCAGAACTTCCCGTCGCCGATTCTGCTACAATCTACACTATGAGACACGACGATTCAGCTACACTGATACAGTCGAGCAATAGTCTAATTTTTTTACGTCACATTTTTCTCCTCAAAATCACGTCTATGGCTCGCAAAAATGACACGATTTCCTGCGTCAAAAGCTCTTTTCCTCGTCTCTACTCCAACTGCTTAGAGAAAAGTTTCGCTGAGTACAGGATTGCCCTTTGCCAAGCCCGGAGACAAGAGCCCAGTGTCGTTGAGGAAGTCTTTGAGTGGGAGCAACGACATAACTAATGAGGCTTGTCTTTATGCCGTAGCTCGCTCACTTTTTTGTCATGGCTCTCAACGCTCTAGAGTATCGGGCGGTGCTAGTGAATAAAAGCGCGACGTGGCGACCACGGCGTTCGCCCGCTCCAGCGCAGAGCTTCCTCTGCGCTGCTATGGGATCCCGGCTACTGAGGTCAGGCTGCAGCCGTTAAACCAATATGTAGCGCAATTTATCCCACTGTTTTTTTCATGATTTACAAATAATGTTAAGTCACGAGGAGCATTTTGAGCAAGGATAGTAATTGTATCAAATAATTGAATCAAAATATTATTATTTAGGGTGTAGCGAGAAAACATTTACACTATTCTCTGTCGGAGGTTAAATAAAAGGTAACCGATTTCAATCTCTGCCTTCTTTTATGCTCTTGAACTCTCAGCATCGTTAGGATCGCCGACGCGAGGATACTTAGCCGCTAATGTGGATACATTTGAATATTTTTTCCAGATAGTAATTTTCATCGCAAAGCGCGAAAGGAAAACTGATAAGGCTCGTTCGTACATGCAGGATAGATGCGAGTTGGAATTGTGAGCGTGAATGAATGGCCTCAATGAGACCTTGAAGAGCGCAGCGAGAGCAATGGAGTGGGGCCATGGAGCCTGGTCATCAAGCGCAGGCTTCGTTAGCTCGGCGGGAATGAAGTTTTAACAAAACTCTCGTGATTTAGGAGATCAATCTCGTACGTCCTACTCAGGAAAACTCGATTCCGTCAAAAGGCAGCGCAAAAAATCGCACCCATTCTTCCGCCTCTGCATAAAACACCTGAAAAATGAGCCTTAGGACCGGTGAAGGAATGTTGTCCGGCCGCCCACGGCTTACAGGCGGTCGTGATAAGAGGATTATTTCCTCTTTTTATTTGCAACGAAAAACGTAGAGGCATCTGGACAATTTCATTTTTGGGCAACATCGAAAAAGTCAAATAGAAGTGCATCAGTAAAGCATGACTATTTTTTGTGTAAAGCAAACGGAAACTTTTCATAATTCTACGAGAAATTTTAGCGCACGAATCACATCTACTGAGTATAAATTGATTTTTAGCTGTCTTGCACTCAACCAAGAAACAATCCAAAGTGATTATCGCATATATAAACATAATTGTGCGAACTAATTTACAAATGAATTTAGCTGAGCAGTAGGTTAAGATGTAAACAAAATTACTGGTCTTAGTGAATTTTGTTGCGACGTTCCACAATATATCGAGCTTAATGTATTATTCTGTGTTAGAAGATTGAAAAGATTCAGCTTGTATTGGATTAGAGCAATTGTAAAGTGGACCTTATGCTCACTACTTAAAGTACATTCCCCTGCCGAAATGCACTTTAGCATTAATACGAACTCAATGAATAAGAAGGATAGAACTAACAACCAATCAAACTCTCAAAATAACTTAACCTGGTGTTTTCAATGAAAAGTAATTGCTTCCCCACTATTATACATAGAACGAGAGAAAAGTAAAAGGAAAGAACACAGCGAGAAGACGGTAAAAAAGTAAATTACTCACCGACCACGTTGAGAAAGGCCAATAGCTCGCAGAAGAAGTATCTGTAGGCCCACCAGTTATGATGTTTGAGATTGTCGGCAAGGTAGTCTAACAACAACTTCTTCTTCTGCTTCTTTTCTACTTCCGAGCAAATGCCTACGTCAAGATCCATCATAAGGGCATGGATTTTGCCCCCTTCCCAGTTCTTCCACATCCACCGCGGGGCGTAGAAACATATTGCCTGCAACAAAGGATCAGTTGTTAAATCCTGCAGCGTCAATTTCAGAGGTAATCATCTCAAATTGAGTTTCTATATAGTTTCCTTTGTTTGCTTAGATTTCTTCGTTACAATGAAATTACATTGTACATTTACAACAGAAATGAATTGGTTTCATTCAAGTTGTATAGCTGAATTCCGTTCCCTGACCGGTTGAGGGGCTTCTTTCCTCACAAGACTTAAAACTGATAATTGAAAAAATTACATTCCCTTAAAATGTAAAGAAAGAACTGAGTCAACTGACATGCATTTTTTCATTACTATGAGAGATTTCACAATTCCTTCTTGAAATACGTTCAAGAGAAAAGCTTTCGAATATTCTCGTTGTTTATTATAGTCGTTAAAAGTTGAACCACTCATTATCCAAATAGAAGCGCAACGAAAGAATTTCTATGCGCGTCAAAAAATATCGCACAAAGGAAAACTGTGCCGGTAAAGCTTGACTGTCTCTAGAGCCTAAACAGGATAAAATTCTGCAAGGTTTGATGCGAGTCTAAAACAGGAATGCTCACAATATATTTTGCTGTAATTTTATGCAAAGGACAAAATATATCTTGAATATATCCTTAAAAGCATTCGTAAACTAAAATAGGTTCGATCGAAAGTTTTTCCAAATCCCTGAACGCGTTCTACTCCCGTCGCTGGTACATCCAATTTCGGAACAACGCACCTCTTACGTCAGGTCATACGGATTTCTGCACAACTTACTGCCCGCAGACTTGCCGAAGAATTTCTTTTGTGGTGGAGAAGTTCAGCGGGACACACATTTCAGGCTTCTTGGATGTAGGGCTTGACACTTGGTCTCGCCTACAAACTGTGAATATAACGACGCTGAGAGTTGCGTGCAGCTGGCTCCGTTCGCATTGGGTTGGAAAGATGGTTAATGTGGAGCGATGATTAAAGATTTCAATGATTTAAGAAGTGTCAAGGGTGCATTCAGTTTGCCTGATCTAACTTGATGGTTATTTTGGAAAATACGCTTATTCCAAGATGATTTCGATAATCCATAATTATCGAAACAGGACGATGAAATATGTTCACAATGTTCACAATCAATTTAATTATTACTTGTTTACATACATCATATGATAACGATTGTAAAGCAAGTTGATTTTCAAAAGATTTACAACAATAAGAAATAGATTCGTCCTCAGAGCATGATTTTTTTTGTGGCCATGATTTCTAGCTTTGTTGGAATAAACTATTAATTGAAGTTGATATCGTACGTCGGCTATGAAAATGAGCACAAAATTAAAAGTATAAATTATTATAAATTAGAATTTGAACCATACGATATATGTCCGAAATACACAGGAGGTTATTGAACTTAGTCCAAGAACCTCCTGTGCATTATTCTTGCATCGGAGGTTAATCTTAACTCGAAATGAGGATCTTTCATAAATATTTTATCGTCATACTGTGACGGCAATGGACCCTTTGGAGTTTAAACCAACAAATAAATAATTCACGGTTATCTGGCAACATCATCTTGAGACTCGACGACATCTTTAAAAGCGCCAAATGAGGCCACAGGAAGCTTATCATGAGCGCTTATCACGTTCGCCGGAAGCTTGCTGCATCTTAACACGCTGAGCGAGTTTGGAAAATGCCTTATAGCGTCAGGTTTCTTCGTTGCCACCATAACACTATTGATAATCTTACGGTCTACTGAGCTTCTCTCTTCGAAAATTAAGTTAAATAAGACGATAAATTCAGTGGAAGAAATTTTCCACTGAAAGACGTTTAAGAAGACAAAGTCTTATATGGTTTAAGACGATAAATTCTTGAAATTAATTCTAAGAATATAAATAATAAGAGAGTGTACGACGATAAATTATTTACTTCTATATTAAATGGGAAAATTCGAATAGCAATGCTAGCTGTACGAATCAGAAAAAATCGAGTTGTTTCCTAAAATGTTAAAGGGTTTCAAACGGAATTTTATGCTATTTTTGTGCCAGATCCTTATGAGTTTAATAACTCGATAAAAACGAGCAAACGATGCTATCATCCAGTTATACCTATAATGCAATTTAGAATTAATGTACGTTTTATAAACCTTATAGAAAATTAGCGGTCACGAAATTCTCGTGATAATGTAATACGTGCCTTGAATTTGACTTTATTGAGCTTCAGTAATAAACTGGTTCTTTTGCTGATTAATATAAAAATTTTATTCGTAGACATGTCGAATGTTTATATGTATTTAGTCAATTATAACATGACTAAGAATATATTAGAAATAAATCCAGAAAGATAATTACAATTGAAATCAGAAATTAAAACAAAAAGAATTTAAATAAAACACATTTTTAAATCAAAAACTTTGATGCAAACTTGATGTTATTTGAACAGCATTAAGATGCTTCCCTTTTTTAAGTAGCAATGAAATTGGTCGGATGGGCGTGATATGTTTTAAGGACGCAAAACCAAATCCTAGATGTATAATGTACTAACAAATATTCCTTAAATCATACGGTGCTCTTCAATCACCCTCAAGAGTTTTAGGTTAAACGAATGGAACAAATAAGTATTTTATTCAATAGAGAATCCCATATATATAATTGGCGGATACAAGATGTTTACTCATGTGGTCCCAAGATCATTCAGGGCTGAGTTCACGTATACAGACCGCACCTCTCGGAGTTCTGAAAGAAGCGCCCCAGCAAGTCGCCCAACACCGGGCATTTCTTGTGGTAGCTACCAATGCTCCCTCGTCTCTAATGTAATTGAACTTCGAAGCACCTTTACCGTAGTTTCCTTCGTTCCTTAGAGTTCATTTAGTTTTGCTTTCGACTTTTATTTGCTCTCTCCGAAAGAAAGCTGGCCAATTTTCCAATCTGAACTTGAAAATGATTTAGAGATTTTCTGCCGCAAATGCGGCGCTTAGATCTGGTTTTCTTCGACACCGATCGACTGATCGACTTCGACACAGATTTTTTTTCGATTCTATTCGAAATCACAATAAAAATGTAACTATTCATTTCTGGAGACCTTGCACTGGTTCTCTAGAAATGAGACTATGGTGATGTGAAAATCATGTTAAAAAATTGGAAACACGATGCTTTTGAACTTCTACTTTCCGTATAAAATTATTAGCCATAATTTTTCAGGGGAGCCTCAGTTCTTTATTATTCTAGTGAACTTTTTCGAGAAAGAAATTTTATTCAAATTCTCGAAATTTTATAAAAAAAATCAAGAATTGACTTCGCATATTTTGGAATATCAAATAAAGCAGCTTACTTATTTCAGAATTAATGAACATTCCTGGAAAACACATGAATTACGAAAAATACGTTCGCAACAATCCTTTTCTATTCTACTTATTTTACGTTATTTTTTCTAGGGGATGAGAGGTTAAGTTAGAGAGGCGTTTCAGGGTTCACTTGGAGCCACGGTCTTGGAGTCAGAGAGCGAAAAAAATTTCAAGCCCAGACACACGTGAAGAACATCTCATGTTCTATGCATCGCTCGACCATCTCTCGCTCTTCACAGTTAGGAAGTTTCAGTGGCGTTCATTATTAATTTAACCTCTTGGGAAGCATCATTCTCGCCAGAGCCTCAAGGAATATCTTGAAGACTTCGTTTAAAAAGTTAACTTTTTCTGTCGATTATAAAACATGATGAATGATGCACTTACGAGGTGATTCTTCAGATCCATGTTATTCAAGAATTGGGCTAAAATTTGCATTTGCAAAACATTTTTGTAAAGAATATTATTGTATTAGGTCTAGACCATGCTACAATTAAAAAACATGACGAGAGATTAAATATACTGTACATATAAATTGTCGAGGTTTATTCGAACTACTCAAAAATTCTTGACTAAAATTGTCGATAATTTAATTAGCGTTGAGTGGAATGCATCGCGAGGATCGGGCAGATGCCGTTCAGTGGACCTCACCAACAAGTTTGGTGATAGAGCGTTGCTTGCCGACGAAATTACCATGAACAGCAGCAACCTTATTAAAAAAGCATAGGTTGATACAAGCGCTACCGCTATTAGAGAGCTATAGAAATCGGGGTTGAAAACAGCTGGACGGTTCTTTGGTTGAGCTGAACATTGACAGCAGTGGCGCAGTGCACTGAAAATGGATGCCGTATTAGAAGCTGAACGTTGCATCGATACATCAGCTGAACGGTCCTATGATAGCAGCTGAACGGTTCTCTGGCAGGAGCTGAACGGTGCACTGATAGCAGCCGCATAGTACTCCGATAACAGCTGGAACGAGCCTTCGTGAGTCAACTCGTACTGATAGAATTGACAACAATGTTGCCCTCTCACGTCGGTGATAATGATTGCGTGGCGATGATGGTCGACAAGTATGCAGGCGTACATATATACATATATATGTACACATGCTTTATGATATACACATGCTATATTGAAGCGCAGTGAGACTCTTTGAGACGAGTGCTGCTGCTTTTACAAAGGTCCCGTGCCTGGAGCGCACAAATCGTCGACTATTTCTTGGTGCCAGAGAGTACTACGAAAGGTCAGAGGAACGGGTTTCTCTCTCCACCGACTTAATGGGTTCAAAGCGTCTCAAAGGACGGCGGAAGATTAAGGTGTTTGTATTAAATTTCTCGAGTGTATTTTGACAGAGGGATAAGCGACACCCGACACTGAAGAAGGGACTAGGATGGCGCTGCTGTGGGCAGGTGTGACCTGCAATGCGTGATACAGCTCTCACAATTTCACAAACACCTCGAGATTTGCTCTTACAATCCAATAAGATCTTTACTGGCGACGCCGAAAGAGATTTCGGCGAACGTGGACGAGATTGGAAAGAATATCCTGATGTTCAATTTGAGAGAAGGTAATATATTGCGTAAACAACTGCACCGAGACTTGTTTGGAGGGACAGATATTACCTTTAAAACATATCCGCATACTCTAAATTCTTGTCCTAAAGGTAAATAATTGATTTTGCTAAAGTATAGAAGTATCGTATAGTATAGTA